ACCGCTGCGAGACAGCCTGAACATTTTTGAAGTTTGCTAACATAACAAAAATGTTTTCAAATTTTCAATCTCACAAATACATTCTCACTTCCATTGCTCACTTCAGTTGCACTCAAAATTTCAATCTTATAAATTGGACAAACTTCAAAAAATAAATGATGGCTGACGAATTGAGCGAGCGGTTTTACCTTGAAATATTTGTATCAAGGAAAATAATAACATATAAAAAGAGATCTAGTTTTTATTAACTCGTAACTTTAATTTCGTTTCTGCTTGGATATAAAAATTTAATACCAATGGTTTGTCTCTACGGGCAGCATTGAACACCGAATAACGAATATTTAAAAAAAATTAAGACCAAACAACGCAGATCTCCATTATTTGAGAAAATCGAGCAACACTAGTGTGTCCATTGTAATTTTTCAATCCTTGAAGTAAACTGAATAAAATCACATTAAACTGTACCTAATTTTTGTTATTCTGCGAGTATATTTACCAATGTTTTTGTGCTTATCTAAGCGCTTAAAACGGATTTGTTTCTTGCTTATTTTCTTCAGCCCTGGTTATTACTAACAAATTGATTTTGTCAGTGCGATCTCTAATTGGGAAAATTAAGAAAAAAACCTGAAGTGTACCCGGGATTAATGCCTTTAATTTATTTAATAAGACATAATTTATAACACATATTAATAGTGTTGTTGCTTTATGAATACCTTTAAATAATTATAAATTAAATGTGACCTTAAATACAAGTCAAACTAAAATTTAAAGTAATTATTGGATAATTTTAAAATAATAAATGTAATTTATAAAAAAATTATGTTTGTTAATTGATAAGGATTTCAGCTTGAAACAAAAAGTTAAAATTCTCAAGAACCCACGATAGTATCGAGACTATCGATTTTTTAGTGGCAAAAACATCGAAAAATCGATAGTTTCAAATATCGATGTTTTTGCAGCACTACTAGGAAGACCATTTTATTCAAATCGGCCCGTAAATACGTTAGATATTAGATTTTTATTTTTTTGTCGTGGTGGACCTTCCGATGGAAACACCCATATGTATTAAAAGTAGAACAAAAATTAGTCAAGTATTTCACTTTCTTTGAGATCGTAAGCCACATTTTGGTTTAATGACAAAAACATTGAGACGGTTTTATATAATCTTTTGCTTTTATTAGGAATCGAGGGTTTTTAATATTAATCTGTTTCTACATTTAGCTTTTATCAGATTCTGAACAGAAAAGTCACGTTCAATTTTGAGGAGGAATGTGGAATAGACAATAATTGTATTTTAAAAATGTTTGCACGCATCGGGTCGTACAGTTCGTTTTGAATTTATTTAATTCGTTCCCAAAACTTGCATATATTTAAATTTTGTTAAGTTTCCGTACTCCGGTAGAAAAAGACAAAACCATTTCTATTAGTACTCAGAATTGCCAACCTTGTAATGTAGTACAAATTTTGTCGAAGTTTGTATGGAGTAAAGAAGGAAGAAAGTATTTGTATAAATAGTAGAAGTTTTTAACCAGCGTAAATATAAAACCAATAGAAATACACACAGCGCTGCATTTCCAAATTGTACCAAAAAGGTCCATGTGGTGTCAATGTACTTTTTGGGGCGTGTGTGAATCGGTAGCAAAGTTCTATGGGGAAAGCTGTTGAATAATATTTTTACTATGGTGAGACAGTTTTGCCAATCTGCTGTGTGAAATGAAATCTTTTTTGACAGCAGTAAATTTTTCATAACCGCAGATTTATGCGCAATAAACTATTACAAATTGAGTGAAATTAATATTTTAAGAAAACATCTACCATCATTGATTGCAGTTCATCAACTTAACCTTTTATTTTACGAAAAATTACACACAGCAGCAATCTTTGCAATTGTCAAAATTTTCTATGCATTTGTCAAAAATTTCACTAGCCCTATGGGCTACTGAAATTTTATTCACCTCAAACTTGTCAAAAATTTACTTGCCGCGAACTTTGTTACCGATTCACACACGCTCTTGGTTTCAAATTGTACCAAAAAAGCACAATTGTGGCAACTTTATCATCACTGGTATATATCTGTCATGTTGTGGAACATGTTGCCGACGATCTCCAATGACTTGCGAATGGCTTTTTGTTTAAATCGGAATCAGTTACCACTACGGCATTAAACGTTTCGTGTGCTTTCGTATTTTAATCGGGTTGTGCTGAAAATAGCGTAACTACTGTGTTTGTGATTTCTTATTGCAATTTTTGTCTTTATTTTCATTTAGAAGAAATAAAATAAAATATACACATATAAATTATGTGAGTAAAAAACAAACTACTGCTCAACGCGCCGTCTGCTTTTTATTCACATGTGTGTACATACATATCAGTGGTGTCAGGTATGCATGTAAATTATAACTCCATTTCACTTTTTCAGAAAAAGGCACTAGCATTTTCTAAGAAATATTTAAAACTTCGGATAATCTATTATTGGGCCTCTTATTTCAAACAGGTTTTAGATTGTTATAACTAGAATACACGCCTTTATTTTTATATTAATAATTTAATTTAATCAACCAAACCAAAAATATCAAAAATGGAGTTATCAATTATGTTCCCGACACCACCGACATGCACATGTATATTTGTATGTACACCTGTGGGTATGTTAATAAACGCATACACATTATTATTTCTTAGTATTTTAATAGTTGTTGGTTGAAATAGTGGCCCATAAAGGGCAACAATTTGTGATTTTTTTTTTTTAATTTGACACAAAGTGCATCTGGATATGTATGAATGTTTATGTAGGTACGCATATAAAGAAATATAGAAATATCAAAATTCTTTAATTTTGCAGTGCGAATGTCCGGTTAATATCCATTCATTTGGTTATCCGGATATTCTAGGCAATATTTGAATAGATTCGTAAAATCGTTCTAAAAATTACTGAATCTATCAATAAATATAACACCTCATTAGTACGCAAAACAATTGTTATGTTACTGTAAATTTTTAGAATCGAAAAGCCGGATATCTAATTAATTTAAGTTAATTTTTTATCCGGATTTCTTATTCAGGTATTCGAATATTTGGATATACATAATTAGCAGCCCTAGTAGAAGCAAAATAAATGGGAAAATTTTAATTTGGCATCCCCCGCGTACAAAAAAAAAGGTGGCTATGGGGGGGTAGAGGGAGTTCTCCTGATTGCAAATATATATACTTTTAGCCGCAGGAGGCTTATAGTTTTTAAGTTATTTGTTGTTAAAGTTTGTAAATTGAACTAACCTCTCGGCGCTATTTCACACAATAAACACTATAATTATGTAGACACTTCGGCAAAATAGTTACATTAAAACCCCGCACAATGAAATGTAAACATTTTTTACATTTATGATGTATTTTTAGTAAATTAAGTAAGTTTTAATAATTATCACGCACTTATATATATACACGCACATTGTGATTACAGAACCGTTGATTCAACCATGGTTTCACACTGACATTAGAGAAGTGCAGCCACATCTAAGAAAATAACAATAAAAGAGAATAGTTTTTATCGTACCCATTTTGCTGCTCAGCGTTGAATTAGTAGTAAAATTGACAAGCACCGCAGGCGAAAATTTTTAATAAAAAATCGCGCGCTTTTTTATTAAAAATTTTCATTATTTATCGAAGTATTGATTTTTATGGAAAAAGCGCCGCAGCGGAAAATTTGTAATAAAAAATCGCGCGATTTTTTATTAAAAATTTTCATTATTTATCAAGTATTGATTTTTATGGAAAAAGCGCCGCAGGCGAAAATTTGTAATAAAAAATCGCGCGATTTTTTATTAAAAATTTTCATTATTTATCAAATTAACGATGTACGTTTTCAACATTTGTGTACTTTGAACTACAATAACACCAGTAAATATTATTTCCACCCGGAAAAAATAATACCGTTATGATCAGGAGTAAGACCCCTATCGATCCTAATATTATTATTTTTAATAAGAGCAATATATTTACGTATTGTACACTTATACTTCCTAATTATACACACTTATTTGTGTATTTTTTTAACGTATGGTAGCATACATTTTGTGTTATTGTCAGCCATTGTTATTTCTGCTTGTTTGTGAAATGTGCAAACGTTTTTGAAGACATTTATAAACGCGTTTTACTTAATTAATTAATTAAGAATTGTATATTAAAGTGGAAATCTCAGGCCGGGGTTTTAATGCAACTATTTTGAGGAGTGTGTACATAAATAAAGTGTTTATTGTGTGAAATAGCGCCGAGAGGTTAGTTCAATTTACAAACTTTAACAACAAATAACTTAAAAACTTGAGGCCTGCTGCGGCTAAAAGTATATATATTTGCAATCAGGAGAACTCCCTCTATCGTTCCATAGCTACCCTAATGCGGAACTCCGGGGATGCCAAACTAAATTGCAGCCAAATAGATAACATAATCTATGCAATTGCTTTTGCAATATTATATACAAAAAATTTAGTTATGCTAGTGCTAGGTTCTGTTCTGTTATTGCTGTCCCCTACAAGAATTGTGTGATGGAAACTAACACATTCTCATTTATCTTACTAACACATTTGCAAATTTTGCGTTGGGTAAAAAGAGACCATTAAATAAGACCATAAGTTGGAGGAAGATCACATATACACAAATGTTTACATCAGATTTTTTACACTGCCCTTAGAATTTGATAGAAACTTGTAGGTAGCCAGTGACAGAAATCTCTATCAGTCTTGCCACTCAAATGATTTGTCAAATGATAGTCACTGTTCTTGCAGGGTCGGTAAATAAAACAATCGCACTGTGGCCACGGCCAGCCTTATGGCCGGTTGTTCAATGTCTGGTTATCACTACTTGCCGGTTAAACATCATTATCGACGTTTTCGACATCATGCATATAACATGTGATCGATAAAGCAGTCGTTGTACTTAACCAGAGCTTCTACCTCCAATTAGTGTCCATCAGACATTGAACAACCGGCCCTTAAACATTATACTTCCTAAGCTCTCGCAATATTCTGAATTGTGCTGAATTAAAGAATGGAGCTGAGTTAATGATGCATTTAATACATGCAAACGGTGTTGCAGTGAGATGCTAATTTGTGATGTAAAAAAGTATACTTACATATGTATGTACGAAATATGCATACTTACAACATATGCGTATAAATAATTATTTATAATTATAATTTACCTACATAATTAAGGAGGTGTGTGCGTACATACATACATATGTGCATGGGCGCCTTCATTCATGCATACACATATGCACATATGTATTCATAAATCCACGCATATGCATTTTTTGCGCTTGTTTATGTTGATTGTGATAGAATCATCAAATAATTAATGAGCTGAGAAAAAGCTTTATCGTCGCACCAACATATTGACGTAATAGTAAGCGTTGTGATACTGCGTTAAAATATTCAGAGAGGTTTAAAACAAGTAAAAAAATTGCAAACAAAAATTTTACAAAAAATATATTAGTTCATTTTCGTTTTATCGGGTGCGATTTGTAAATGGAGAGAAGTGATCCGCATTTGCTAAGTCAACTATTATACCAATGCAACTGTAGACAAAAGAAACTAAAACGTGCAAGATTAAAAAAAAGAACTAAGAGTAGGGCTGTGCGATTATTCGATTACTCGAGCAAGTTGGTTAATCAATTATTCAGTTAATCAATTACTCGAGTAATCAAAATTTTGATTACTCAAAACGATGATTAATCGAGTTACTTGAAATATGATTACTCAAAAAAAATAATTTTGCTCGTTAAAAGAGTTTGCTTTGGAAAATGCTTATTTTCTTTTTTACATTCTGTATATGAAAAAAAAAATTTCGTTTTAATTTTTGAAAACAGAAACGTTGTTTTAAAAGTATCTAGGAACTTTAACTACTTTATACATATGTAAAGAGTTGAAATGTTGATTACTCATTTTACTCGAAATGATGATTAATCATAAAGCAAATTACTCAAATATTTTTGTTTTTGGTTAATCAAAAATCTTGATTACTAGAGTAACTGAACTTTTGAGTAATCATAACTTCTAATTAATCGAATAACTGAGTTATTTACTTTATGATTAATTAAAATTTTGAGTAATCAATTAATCGCACAGCCCTAACTAAGAGCTTTCATAATACTAACAATCTTTATAGCAATAAGTTTTCAAAAGATCAAAGATCTTCAGAACCATCTTCAATATGGCGAGCAATAACTTTAACACCGCTGACGTCTACACAAGTCAGCGATGTTTAAAATATTGGCGCTTCCTCGCACTTTTCGCAGTGCTTTATAGCAACGCATCATTGCTAGTAGCATCCTCCGCAGTGGACAATAGCGTTGACAGCACGACTGATGCTGTTGAGAGTGTTGGCTCAATTTCTGCTGGTGGAATTAATGATGTTATTCAGAAGTCCATGGAAATCTTACAACTCCCTCATGTATTGCGACATCAGAAACATCACTCACATCATCAACCTTTGAAGCGAACACCGTTGCACCAACAACTAAGAGGCAATTACAGCAACTCCAACGTAAGCATCATAAACAACAGCGGTAGTATCAGCAACAAGAACATTTATTTCCAAGCGCAATTTCAACCGTTAATGTCAGATCACTTCCGTCATCCGAAACACAGACATTCATGGGGACGTCACGTTCACCCTATTCTTCGCCATCAACAACATCATCTGCAGGAAACCAAAACGGCTACTGCAGCGGTGGCAACATCTCCACCAGTAATAGACGTAGCAACGAAGCCATCGGTCAATAGCAGTAGTGGAACACAGCAGCATAAAAAAGCACAAAGTCACTTTAATCGCGGTGGCCTCTATCAATCGCCTTATCAGTGGACAACAAGAGGCCCGAAAATACGAATTGGCAGGCGCTTTCAGATTAAAGCCCAACCGAATAGCAAGAGAATTTCAAATGAATTTCCCCAAGTCGGCGACATGCACGTCGGCAAACATCAACCCGCTGTCAAAACCTATACTGAATTATTTAACGATTTACGTATGCCGCCAAAGAAGCGCGACTATCCCCACTCATATACTGCAGGTCGTCAGGTCGCACATATAGGTGGAGGCGCCGATGAAAGCAAAACATACAATTACTTTTCATCTAACTCTGACGAGAATAGCGATGCAGACTTCTCTAATGAAAAGTGGCAGCGGATTGACCAAGAGCACCATCGTAAACAGCAAGAACATCAGCGACAGATGTTGGCATTGCGTGCGCATCCCTACAGTCATTACACAGAGGCAGCTGCAACAGCAGCAGTATCTGCAGTGACAGATGCAATAAAACCACATCGGAATAGTGATGATGTAAGTGCAGTTTTTTTTTATATTCATATTTTGAACTATATTAGGCACGGTGCACATTAGAGCGATACGATATGAAAGCGAGGTTGGGCTTGCGCGCAGTGCACATTAGAGCGATACGACATGCGATACCATATGCGGAGCGATAGCTAAAAAACGTCTTTCATTATTATTACTAACTAGAAAAAACTTAAAACTAAAACAACTTACTAAAAGCTTCTGAATTAATTTGAAAAGTAGATATGTTCAATACAGAGCAATATATATATTTTTAACAAATTGGCTGAAACTAAATAAGTTATTCAAATTTTCATGAAAAGTTATTTTAGAATATTGCTGTTCACTACAAGAAGAAATCCATAATGCTGCACAAAAAAGTGGTTAACCTCAGAACTCCACAGGCAAACACCGATCGATGCGAGCAATATGATTGAAAGCTTTTGTGTGGGCATTTGATGTCTTCATTAGAGATGGGCACGGGCCTAAATTTTCAGACCTGGCCCGGCACGAGTGCTAAATCAACTTTCAAAAACACGCACAAGCCCGCACGTTAAGAATTTTAGTGGGGCCCGGCTCGGCCCGGCCCAGCAAGACGGGACACGTCCCAGCCCGGAAATAAAAAGCTAACTTTTATTGTATGTATACATATGTACATAATTTTAATTTTGTGTTTATGTCCATATGTATATTTACTTAAGCGAATCAATATTTTACATCAAAGATTTTTATAATATATTTTCTGGGAAGTAGAAAAAGTGGAAGGTATTTTATGTACAGATATGTATATAAACAAAACTACTAAGTATCATATATTTTCTATCGGTTTCCAAACATTTCTTTTTTTGCTTTTCTCTTATCAAAAGAGTTTTAATTTTTTTTTGTATAAAAACAAAAGCTCATCAAAATTTTTAGTATTAGCAACGGGCTTTTTCGTGCCTTTTCGTGCTTTTATGAAATTTTACTGAACGCCCAGGAGCATTTGCTACATGACGCCATCAGAAAACATTCTCCCTGAATATTTTTTAGAAAGAGAATTTAAATAATATTTTATTATTTTTATTTAATATCTTATGGCTTAAAGAAACATTTTTTTTCTGGTATCCAAATTCAAAAAATAGTAAAACTTCATAACTTTATGTTTCATTTACACTCTCTCTCAAAAAAAAGTTTAGTTTGAAAAGTAACGGTTTTGATTCATAATATAGTATTTAAACACATATAAGATTCGCAAAATTCGCAATATTTAGAAAACTGTACACGTTTTAAATTTAAAATGGCTGCAATTTAGTTTGGTATCTCCGGAGTTCCGCATTAAGGTAGCTATGGAACGGTAGAGGGAGTTCTCCTGATTGCAAATATATATACTTTTAGCCGCAGCAGGCTTATAGTTTTTAAGTTATTTGTTGTTAAAGTTTGTAAATTGAACTAACCTCTTCACACAATAAACACTACATTTATGTACACACTTCGGCAAAATAGTTGCATTAAAACCTCGGCCTGAGATTTCCACTTCAATATACAATTCTTAATTAATTAATTAAGTAAAACGCGTATATAAATGTCTTCACAAACGTTTGCACATTTCACAAACAAGCAGAAATAACAATGGCTGACAGTAACACAAAATGTATGCTACCATACGTTAAAAAAATACACCACAAATAAGTGTGTATAATTGGGGAGTATAAGTGTACAATACGTACATACATTGCTCTTATTAAAAATAATAATATTAGGATCGATAGGGGTCTTACTCCTGATCATAACGGTATAATTTTTTTCGGGTGGAAATAATATTTACTGGTGTTATTATAGTTCAAAGTACACAAATGTAGAAAACGTACATCGATAATTTGATAAATAATGAAAATTTTAAATAAAAATCGCGGCCTGCGGCGCGTTTTCCATAAAAATCAATACTTCGATAAATAATGCAGACTTTTGCTGTTAAGTGTATCTACATACATAAATCTTAATCTCATATGGTATAAGAATCTACATACCTTTGTGTTAAAATTTATAAAATAATTTGTAATATTTATTACAAAACTCGAAAATTAAATTGGATATGGTATAAGAATCTACATATCTTTGTGTTAAAATTTATAAAATAATTTGTAATATTTATTACAAAACTCGAAAATTAAATTTCTTGGATGTCAGTTATGTGTAACTAATCTGTCCGTTATGCCTTCCACATAACACGTTTTCACGTTATGCCTAACTCGTTATACATAACATTTTCTTTCTTTAGGCTTCAATAATTACAAATAACGTTTCTTTACGTTAGGCTTAACTAGTCACACATAACATGCTTCACGTTATGCCTAACTCGTTACACATAACATTTTCTTTCGTTAGGCTTAACTAGTTATACATAACATGTTTCTTCAAAATTTATAATGGAAGTGGGTATACGCTTCACATAATTTGGTATACCCTTAGGAAATTAACGTAAACATTCTATGGGAGTAAAACATGCATTTGTGTTACACCTCTGCGTTATATGATTCGTTATGACACGTAGTGTTCTTGTAGGGAAGTAAAATCAAAGTTATTTTGTTTTTGTTTTCTTCGCTATTCCCGTCGCTTTGCTGGGTGCTCAGGTGTGCGTATGTTTGTACGTGTGTTAAGCTACAATGCAAAAACCCGACTACTCCATGTGCTCATGTAAAGAGTAGCGCGGTTACCCGTGTACGTAGCGTAGCGTAGAAGTACGTAGAAACATACCAAATTTGCTGTTGATAGAAAGAGAGAGATGCTACGTCTACGTCACGGTCATGCGGTGGTGAGTTTTTTGTTAACACGCAGATGTCATAAGATAGATCGTGTCAGCTGACATGTTCTCCGTTTTTACGTCCGTGGGTAACTGCGCTTTATGGTTCAAGGAGTACCCAAAATTAACCAAAATCCATATCGCCATTTAAAGTACAAAACCGTGTATCAACAAAATTCAAAACCGCATATTAAGATAATATAAAACCGCATATATGTGAGGTTACATAAATTATTTTCTAGAGTAAAAACACTCATATTTCAAAATGGTTCTCTTTTTTATAAAGCAATCGCATTTCTAGCTAGTATGTATATTTTAGGACGAATAGATAAGGATTGAACCAAGAGCTTGTGTGAGCAAATAAAATTTTGGACAGCAAATGTCAGTTACGCGGTTTTGCAGAATGACGATACGCGGTTTTTTTACTTTAAACGACGATATGAAGAATGTGGTCCAATTAACATTGCCATGTCCAAGGTCAGGACCATATACTCCAGCTCTGAATTACATCAGAGTAGCACAAAACATCTTCAAGGGATTACTCCATGGAGTATCTACCTCTCGGCAACACAGCGCAATAAACATCGTATAGGCATTACGATCATTAAAACTCGAGCAATGATCGGTTAACAATGAGCTGGTGTAGAAACTAGGGATGTTGCGAATGTGGAATTTTAGACATCCGCGGATGCGAGTGCGGGTGCGGATGTTTAAAAGCTAACATTCGCGGATGCGTATGCGAATGCGGATGTCAAATATTTTTAAGAAATAACTAAAAAATGGAAAAGTTAGTAATTTTTAATGTAGTTTATTTATTTGGTACTTAATTAAAAAAATAGAATATTGTATTTAAAAAAGAGTAATTTTGCTGCCTTTTCGGGTCGTAAATCAAACCTGCGCTACCAAATAACTACTCGCTCGAGGCGACAAACTTGAAACTTGACAAAATTGTAAATTCTTTTCGATTGACGCCGCACCAGTTGAGAGCACTTTCAGTTATATTTCTTTTTTTATTGCGTTGCAATAATTACTTTTTGAGAATTGCATCGGGGCTGCAAATGTCGGATTTATCCTCCTGACTTTCATCTACACGATCTAGAATCATGGCAAGATCGTTGTTTAAACACCGTTGTGTTCCAATTTGGAGAACCAATCATTTTGGTTGTTTCAGAATTTGGAGAACTTGTTACGTCATCAGTTTTTCGATTTAAGTTTTTGTAATTCATTT